TGTAAGGGACGTTGCACATTATCCCTTCTGATGAACACATGGGTACTGTCAATTAGTTGTTTGGGTATGTACACACGGCGTTGATGTTGTCTCGGAAGCGTTATCCTTAGACTACTCATATGCTGCTTAAGACGTTGTACATAGTCCGCTATATCAGTTGGAACGCTTTTACCTGCGGTGAAAAACTCTCCTGGCAGACGTAGTGTGGTTCCATAAACCAATTCTGCTCGGCAGCATTCTATATCTTGTTTGATTGTTGATCTTAAGTTCAACATGACTAACGGTGGCTTGCTGGCCCAATCATTATTGCTGATGACAGCTGTAAGAGAAGCTTTAAGTTGCCGATGCAATCTCTCTACCATACCATTCGACATCGGATGGTAGGATGTTGTGCGAATTCGTTTGATTCCGAGTAGTTCTGTGAGTTATTGGAAGAGGCGGCTCTCGAATTGAGCTCCTCTATCGGTTGTAATATTAGTAGGTACGCCATAATGGGAAATCCAATGCTCTACTAGGGTTTTTGCGATAGTTTCGGCTGTAATATATTTTATGGGCACAGCTACAGGCCATCGTGTGAATCTATCAATGCAAGTGAAAATGTAACTGAAGCCATTCGAAACCGGCAGTGGTCCTATAATATCGATATGTATGTGCTCGAATCTGTTATCGGTATGACGGAAATGACCTACTGCGGAACTGGTGTGGCGATGTATCTTAACTCTCTGGCATTTTATACACGCTTGCGTCCAATTACGAATATCACGATTCATACTTGGTCATACAAAACGTTCGCTGATTAGTTTGATGGTGGCCTTTATTTCGGGATGCGAAATATTGTGCATGGCTTCGAAAATGTTTCGCCTTAGCGGCTTTGGAATAAATGGTCTTGGTTGACCTGTAGAAATATCGCAGGTGATGCTTACTTCTTTCAATGGAGTTTCTTTGAGAACTAACGAGGTTGTATTGGCAGACTTTAGTCTGTTTAACTCGACGTCGATATTTTGTTATGCTGCTAACTTGTGATAATCGATTTTGGACAGGATGAGAGCGTTGACCATCGTTCTGGATAACGCTTCTGCCACTTCGTTATTATTGCCTTTGATATACTGTATGTTAGACGTGAATTGGGAAATAAATTCCAATTGTCGGATTTCCCTCGGCGAGTAGTTGTCCTGTTTGGCGTTTAATGCTTTTGTGAGGGGTTTATGGACTGTATATACTGTGAAAATGGTACCCTCAATCATATGTCGGAAATGTTTTATTGCTAAGTAAATCGCTAGGAGTTCTCTTCCGAAAGTACTATATCTTGTTTGTGTCGGATTCAGTCTTTTCGAAAAAAAGTGAAAGTGGTTCCCATATGCCATCTACTAATTGTTGTAAAACGGCTCCTACCGCTACGTCTGATGCATCCGTCATGATAGCTAACTGTGTTTCGCTCTTTCGTCTAGTTAGTGTCACTTCTTTATTTAACGCTTTTTTAGCGTTCGCAAATGCTTGAATCGCGTCTGGTGATAATTGGAATGTCCGTGCGTTTCCGCGTAATGCATCTGTAAGTGGTTGCAATATTGACGCACAATTCGGGATAAATCGTCTGTAATAATTTATTAACCCGAGAAATCGGCGTAACTTTTTCCATGATTCGGGTAGGGGATAAATCTTAATGGCGTCGACTTCTGTTGCTATTGGTGTGATGCCTTGAAAAGTTATATTGTGACCTAGGAACTGTAAAGATTCTTTTCCGAATTCACACTTCTCAATATTTATAGAAATGCCGTGTTCTCTGAGTCGCATAAATAATTACCGTAGTTGTTGTATATGCTCATCTTTAGTGGTGCTAGCTACTAATAAATCGTCGATATACGCGTATACCCCAGGTAAACCTCTAATGACCTGGTCGATAAACCGCTGAAAGGATTGTGCCGCGTTAGTCAGTCCAAAAAAACATACGCAGGAATTCATATAGCCCAAATAAGGTTGTTACTGCTGTCTTCGGTATGTCTTGTGGGGCAACAGGGATGTGATAGTATGCTCTGACTAAGTCGATCTTCGAGAAGATAGTAGTGCCCTCTATACTGTAGGTGAAATCATGAATGTGCGGTATAGGATATCTATCAGCTACTGTTTGTTTGTTTAGTGCTCTGTAATCCCCACATGGCCTAACCTCTCCATTCTTTTTCGGAGCCATATGTAGCGGGGATGCCCACGGGCTGTTCGATGGCCTTATAATGCCTAGCCTCATTAGCTTGTCGAATTCCTGTTTTGCGATAGCTAGTCTTTTGGGATCTAGCCTTCTTGGTCTTGCATTGATTGGTGGGCCACTCGTTACGATGTGATGCTGGATAGAATGTTTGAGATCTGCTTTATTGTATGTTACTTTTACGAGTTCAGGGAACTCCTTTAACAACAATATATATGGATCATCACGACTTTTATCTATCACAAGATTCATTGAAACGGCTTTCGTAAGTATTCCTCTTATCGAAGTGGTTTGACTGCCGTTTATAAGTCTGTGTCATCTAGAGTCTACTAGCAGGTCAAAGTTACATAAGAAATCTATGCCTATTATGGGCATCGATACGTCTGCTATGACAAAGTTCCAGCGGTATGAAGCGCCATGTCCAAAATCTAGGGACAATTTCCGTTTACTATATGTCTTAATATCTGATTTGTTTGCTGCTCTTAACACTAATGACGGATTAATGTTTTTTCTTTCCTCGTTAAATGGAGGTACTACGCTAATTTCCGCTCCAGTGTCAACTAAAAATTGTGCGCCAGTGGTTCGGTCTTGTATAGAAAAGAGGCGACTATTTTCAGGCATTATGTGTGTTGATGCTGTTGCCATTGATACTCGTGGGTATCGGTTACTAGCCCTGTTAAATCTACAAGGTTGTAGGCACTTTCTAGCATTGTAGCCGAACATTTGATGATACCAACATATCGCGGGAGTTGGGCGTCGTCTAGAAGTTGACCAATTCTTTTCACGCGAGCGATTTCGCGATGACCTTCGTGGCTTTTCTCTCTGCGTTAACTCTGAGAGTTTTCGGCACAAAACATTTATTTCCTTCTTTAGAGTATCAAGTCTATCGTCTACCGTCACGTTGTGTAGTGGAGGGCTTGCTTGCTTCTTTCGTATATTCTATCGGCTATCTTTGCTATATTGTCTAAATCAGCATCCGTATCTCCCACAGCTAGGATCTGCTGTATATTTGCCGGGAGTCGGCGGAGCCACAGTTGATAAAAGAGATTATTGTCAATGTGTCTATCGCTAAGTAGACTTTTCATATAATTTTTTAGTTGTGATGGGGTCCTATTTCCAATTTGTACTTGGTTAAGGAGTTGTTCGACGGCTTGTTGGTCACTGAGAGAGAGTTTTAATTACTGCCTCTTTTAGCACGTCGTATGGTTTTTCTGTGTCTGGTTTTGCTAATGCCTCTCGAACGCTGTCAGCTACTTCTTCTGGGAGTAGTGTGCTTGTCAGGCCGAACTTATCCTTTTGCAAAAGAATGCGGTTAGCGAGAAAATAATTTTCAAGTCTTATAAACCAAAGTTTTGGGTCTGTGATTTTAAAAGAAGGGGCAGGAAAGTTAAGAGGCCTCACGGACGAGGCTTGCTGTACGCTTGAAACTGTGTTTTCATAAGACATGCTTATAAAAATTAAATAGCACACGAAAATAATGTAACAGTCACAAAGAAAAATAGACGGGCGAAAACAATGATAATAAAAAAATGGCACAATTTATAAAATGGAACAGACTTACTAAATTGCACCAATATATGGATAATTGTTATTTATTATGATTAAAATTGTCACGTTTAATAATGTTTGCGAAATAATGTAAGTGTAATTAAAATAATAATAGAAATCCACAGTTGTAATTATAGTTCATTTGATAATCCAAATTGAGATGGAGGTAGTCAGGTTTTTGGAATTTGATTATTTCGTCAAAATTCGCTTCCCGTTCTCACGTCGGGGTTACCAATTATGTAGTGGCTGTGCTTCGCTAATTAATCAACTTCAAACCGTTATCGTATAATCTTCAACGATGTTTGAAATCAGAAGGCAAAAAGAAGCAGCTACTACAGTTTTATTTAGTAGATAATTCGAACCAGACGGCAGAGACGCAAAATGAATGAGCAAGCGAACTACGATTGTAGCAGTAGCAAGTAGCTGTAGTGAATGGGTGCAAATGTATATATATATGTATATATATATATATATATATATATATATATAAAATGGATGAGTCAACGAATAGATTAAGCAGTTAATAATGAAGCTAGCAGAATGAATGCATGCGTAGGCGCTAAACAATGTTCAAGCATATGTATTTCATACAAGCATAATAAAAAAGATAGTACAACACGTTGTTATATCATGGATGACTTTGTCCATTAAATAGGTCAACAAAAGACCTTGACTGAACTAAACTCAATTGCACGTGAGTCACTATGACCCATTAAAGTATAGACGACTTAGAAGTGACCTTCTAATGGCTTACAATATCCTTAATATCTCTGGACACCCCGTTGAACACCTTCTTAAGCTTAGTCTCAATAAAAATCTAAGGGGTAACACTCAAAAATTAGAGACACAATTTCTACTCCTTAAGAGTTGTCAAATGCTGGAATTCGCTGCCGACTTCCCAGAAGTCCTTTAAGAGGAAACTTGACCTATTCATAAGGACTAAGGGTGACATCTTATTATGAGTTACCAATTTCTTTTTTTCTAATCTATTATAGTTAATATACCTAAGTTCTTGCCTGGAGGTATTGGCAATCCCATGCTGCTGGACACGGAAGCCTGTTAAGCGAATGCTTCTATTTCGTCCACAACCATTTTAACCATTCGGATTTCTTAAAAGTATTGCCTGAGGTCAGTAAATAATAAAATCCACGTTATGAAAGGTACTAACTACTGTGATGGCCATACTATTATGAAATGAATTGAAGTAGTGTTTGGTTGAAATAATTGGCTTTCTGGCGTACTGTCGTTTGAGCGCGTATTTGGATTATTGTCCCAGCTGATAGTTGTCTGACGTTTTTGTTATGAAAACTAGGCGGTCTGGATATAGATCTGATTTCAAGAAATCATACGTCATAGAAAAGTCTTCAGATCCAAAAACTCTACACCCAGGTGAACGTAAACAAAAACCGAGCAGAGTTAAGGGTATCCTCAATTGTACTAAGCGTCAGCGGAATTCTGAAACCTATAAATCAGCGCATTTAGTAGGTCGTAGAAAAGCTTCTAACTTCGTTACATATACACAGAACGGTCGGCTCTTTTATGATATCTATGTCAGAGAATCTCCATACCGTACAAACAAACTAGTAACGTCAGTTCCTAAAGAATCTATTGAAGATAGAGCTACTACAAGTCTAAAGTATCAAATCAATACAAAGCTACGTAAAAAGGATGTTCGCACTAGAAGCCACGATGATTCTGTTCAAAGTTCATGTTCAAAAGCTTCTGTAACCAAATATTTGACCAAAACTAGTAAAAAAAGTGTCCGATCAAGTGGCTCTGTTAAAAAATCTGCTAAGGGCTTTAGGAGAACCCGAAAATGTCGAAACAAAAGTCCAGACATTCAGAAAGCATTAAGACGTGAGCTCGGGCCTGATTATGTATCTCCTGTTGAAGCTCATGGTAAACGATTGGCAAGTCTAAACGCAACTGCCATCATAGGCGCTTTTAATTCTAAATCTCCTAGGAAAACATATGTTAAGAAAAGAAAGTCGGATGTATTATTTGAATTAGGATTACAACCAACTTTGATTCATTCGGATGAAACAGATGATGCTATTACAGAGCCTATGTGTTCAGTCGTTGATGATGATTTAGTTCACTGTGTGGAGGTTACCGATGCCCTGACTTCTGAACAAGGCAGCGTACTGACAACACACAAGTCCTCAAGTTGTACTCCTGTGAAAGAAATTACACCATTAACGTTTAAGAACGTTTGCCAAATTAACCCTGCAATCGAGAGTTTTCATTCACAACGAATTATACCGTTAGGACATGACACGTTTGGTGTTCAGCAGATCATGCATCAGGTAGTAGTTGTACCTCATTCGAACGAATCCTCTCCAATTATGTGTCAGTCTAAATTACCGGATCTCGGCACAGCTATCCCTCGTCCGTCAATAGGAAGTTCTGTTCCTTTTCCTGTATTATCCTGTCCAAAACCATATGATTGTTATTTTAATGATACCGCATTACAACAGCGACACAACCAAGTTATGTACAATCCATTTTATCCCTCCTTTCCGCATCAGTACGTTAATTCTTGGAATCCTACGTTATCGTGTATTGCAAATTCAAGTATCACACCATCCTTTGTTGCTTGCGCACCTCCAAGTATTATTCTTCCCCACATCAGCTCACCCTTCGTTGTTCCTAACCCTGGTGTCACGCCTCAGGTCGCATATCCACTTGTCTTACAACCGTTTCCCAATATTCCTGCATCTTACATAGGACCTAGTTTTCCCTGCGGAATTATGTCACCTGTTATCTTACCAACATCATGGGCTCAACCTAGCTTGCTACCTTGCCAACCATTCAATACCTCAGCTAACAACAGCAATGAACTCTTATGTCCTATGATGGTCTCGTCCGCACAAATTATTTCAACCACTCAACCACAGATTATCCAATTGCCAAGTAATCAATGCACAAGCTTTTTACCTCAAGCAGGTCTGGGACAGTTAGTGTTGAACCACTCTACAGTCATACCAAATGCATGTTCTATTTCTGATCAGCCGACGTCTAGTTGTCACAGCAAACCATATGTGGAGAACCACTCGACATGTTATTCATATGGTAAGGTTAATGGTCCTGTATTGCCACATCAAACACCGCCTGTCGACATCCTAGATGAAACTATTAATATAGTTCCATCCCAAAATTCGCCTGTACTTTGTACAAAAACTGAAAGACCTTTATTAAATGAAAGCAGTTCACTTGGAATGAAGTCCTCGATTGAAAACCCTGGGAAAAAATTAAGCCCAACCGTCATATGCCTGGATAATGAAAAAGATGCGTGGGTGTGGGAGGGCAGTTCTTTTGATCAATATATTTTCCATCAGGTAAGCTGTATAATATGTTTTGGTTATGTTAAAGACTAGGCTTTTTAACTATGCTCAGATCTGCAAGTTCATGTTTTGGTAGCTGTAAGGAGTTTGTTTGATGTTCCACATTTTGTCTAACCATCCACGAGTTTGCTTTGTCCGAAATAAGTAGTTGTATGTATTTCGCTAAGCTGAATTCTATAGCAAACACTAACAATTGTCGAAATGGTCGGTCTTAGTTTGGTTAGTGTTTTAATATCTTGCCTGGTCCTACGTTGTAGCTGGCTGACTGATTTATGTCTTTGCGTCGATGTGTCATTAAAAACGAAACGAAGTAGAAGTAGTAAATTTAATTCCTTCCAACCGCTTATGTAATGCTACTGCTAAAGGCAGGTTAAAGTATAAGGAAATCGTGGAAGGAAACAAAGTTTTGTCCTTCAGTTCATGTTCAAAGAAAAATTAGTTGTACTACCGACTTTATAATATTCTCATTCGAGCGCATACGGTAAAAATCGTAGTTGTAGGTGACGGATTGAATGCGCGGATTGGATGTTGGTGTAATTTGCACTTATCACACAGCTTGTGCAAACACGCTCATTGCAAAACGATCCATAAAGAGCATGTCGAATTTTGTTTTGGTTATGAACGGATTACTCATGTAGTCATCCTCCATCAAAATGTTGAATACTACCGTGTATCGTGCATGCCGACATTCGTATCTACCTACATCACGGTTGCTTCTGTTTGCTGAACTAAATTGTTTTCTAGAATATTATGATAACCAGTAGCGTCTGGAAAGTTTAAAAGCGCCTGAAGTAGAATGCTGAAATACTACTATCTTTGTATTTCGTTTTAAACTAGTAGCAGGTTAAACAGGGTGTTCAAACTCTACTAATTTTTAATATTACCACCCATTAAATTCTGGAATCAAAATTTACTGTACTACCCTGACTAAACTTAATCAGTTAGCAATCAACATCGGCAAACAAATCATGTTCTTATAATATCGAAATGTACTTCTAATGGAATGACGGAAATTCACAGCTACAATCGACATTTGAAATAGTCAGTAAATTCATGTGCCTGGATTACCCAGTGTTAGTACCAGTTGGTGTACCTTGCTTTAATCCACACTTTTACTTGCTAGTGATATTATCCAGGCACTTAAGCTGGAGTAGGTGTATTAGAGTTCATACCTCCGACCCAGTGATTCAAAATATCTGGGTTAACCTTTCACTTAAAGTGTATCCTTCAATGCTTTATATTTTTGTTTTTATTGCATAATTTTCACTCGTCTTTTCCTCTACGGCCTTGTAATTTATCTCTGTGTGGTCCATTTCTTAATGCTTTGTTGTATCAAGCAATTTGTTTTACAAATAACTGAAAGATATCAAAATGTACTACTAGCATACGTTTTGGGAAAATGGTACTTGAGATATGGTTTTCTACAAGTAACTCGTATCTCTTTCTCGCGGATTCATAACACCATCTAACTTTTGTTTTTATCAGTCTGACGCACCCCCAGTGCTCTGCCAGTGTTACCTTGCAATCCGACACCGACGAGATGGTATGGTGATTCGTGTGAAGGACAGTGTCTTATTGTGTAGTGGTCCAAGTCGAAGTCATCCACCACATGTCGCGAAGATTGTTGCATTGTATCATGATAAAAATACAGGTGAGTGGTTATAGCATCGCACCTGATTTATCTATGCTAAACTATTTCTGATTATCTTATTCGTTTAGTTTACATGAGTTGATAGGCAGGCTTTCTTATAGGAGGAGGTCAGTGTTCGAATAGTTAGGCGGTGTTATTTTCAGGAGTATATCTATGGTGTAGTTATATAAAAGTAGGGATGTTGAGAAATCGTGACTAACAGTATTTGGTGTTATGAATCCTAACGGCATTTCACTATAAACTCTCACTCGATCAATAGTATTTGACCAGAGCGTCTGTATATGCAGATGTCTGGATGTCATACCAAGCTCCTTCAGGATGAGCATTAGTTGTCGATTCAATGCATTTTTGATCTTTTCACCTTCGAAATGATCTCTAATGGGTTTTCCTATTGCGACTTTCCTGTGCCCAGTATAACAGAAATGTTTGCTCTTACTAGAACATGGTCGGAGTTCAAACATGTACTGCAGAAGAAGTGACAGTTTTCTATTTAGCCGCTCCAACGATGGCTCATGGCAGTATAGTTTATATGTATCGATCGTTGTGTTGATGTTGGAGGCCACCAGACTAGGTAGCGTCCCTCTTTATGCTTAAATTTTTCACGCGCAAGGAATAAGCGGTCGTCTGAACATTTGTCTTTTCATAGGGCTGAGTTTCTTAATGATTCATCTAAATGTTTTTCAGTTTTACGTAGCCTACCAACTTGTGCGTTAGAATCACCTGCTTCGATTACTATCTAAATACCTGAAATTCTGTTGTGTCAGAAAGCTTCCTGTAAAGCTCATCTTTTACTTTATCCAAGCTACAAACGGTGGGGATGTAGGGAGAAAAAACTTTGAGACAAAAACGTGTGCCTCTATATTTTCGAGTTCTTACTGTGCTATTTAGATGGACAGCACATAAGCGACTGTCGACAGGAATTCAGTCAAAAAGTTTCTTTTGCAACAGAAGGTATGTCGTGTGTGTGTTTCGGAGATAAATCATACATTGATGAGACAAGATTCTAGTGTAGTAGCTATTGATGCCTATTGTCTGATTTAACATGAAGTTCGGACGTTGGAATCTCCAACTTGTAGCTTAAAGTGCGGTTTCAGGAAACTTGAGAACTCATTTCTTGGACTCGAATCGTTAGTACTGGTGGAAGAAGTCGTAGACAGATAAAGGTTGCTAGTGAAGATAAAAGAAATACTATGTAGAGATGCACATGGGCTCCAGTATTCTGCGGCAACAAGTGCCGTGTGAAACAATTCCTTGGTCACCGGCTACCATGGGACTTCATCTCTTCACGATGCTCCACTGCCTTGTGGGTTAGGCCTTTAGGTCAAAGGCTTGGGGTGTGGCTCCCTAAGAAAACCACCTGCTTCGGTTTGGGCACCCGGGCAGTATCTCAGCCCGCACACAGAAACATGATAAACTGTCTACTTATGAAAAATAGCCCCCTCGCTCCAAACAGCAATCAAGTGACTCGCATTATTATTGATATTACTACTATTGTTATTATTGTTACTATTATTATTATTATTTACTACGTCATTATTCACCCTCTTTTATTCCCACTCTGTTTATACTTATTTGTTCGAGTTATACAGCAGCTCGCCTATGGTGGAAATTCGGCTCTGTCTAAAGGTTCTTGAGTCACTGTCCGGTTGAAAATTGTATGTTACCACCGAATACGAGTACTGAAGCAGTGTTTTTGAAACCACGTGCACCATTCAAACTGGCTGCCTTCAACGTTCGCACACTCATGCAGGTTGGACAACAGATAGGACTGGCTATGTCTTTAGAAAGTCTTAATATCGATGTTTGTTGTTTATCCGAGACCCATATTCAAGACTCTGGTGAAGTACTACAAATTCGCTCTTCATCTGTCGCTTCGAAAAGCTTGTTTTACGTGCGCTTATCCGGGGACCCTGTGGCATCTTCGTCTGGTCTTGCTGGCGTTGGTGTCGCACTAAGCGCTAGAGCTGAGGAAGCACTAGTCGATTGGATCCCCATTAACAGTCGGTTATGTGCTGTTAGATTAGAAAGTTCCATCAAAGTGAGAAGAAATCGGCGTGAGAAACGATATCTTTTTGTCATCTCCGCCTATGTCCCGACAGATTGCAGCCCGGATGCAATCAAGGATGAGTTTTACCACCAGTTATCTGTTCTTCTCCAGAAAGTGCGTTCGACAGATATTGTAGTACTAGCGGGAGACTTGAATGCTCAGGTCGGGCGTCTAGGCACAGAAGAGAGTCGTTTAGGTGGCCGATGGGGACTCGTTGGTCGCAGGTCAGATAACGGGGACCGTCTACTGCAACTGTGCATAGACCAAAAACTGTTTTCTGTCTAGCACTAACTTCCGGCACAGTCATCGCCGATGTGCCACCTGGCGTCCTCCCTCTGCATCTCAAGGCTGGACTCAGGTCGATCACATCGCAATCAGCTACCGCTGGCATGATTGTGTACAAGACTGCCGCTCCTTTTGGAGTACCTATCTGAACTCTGATCATGACCTGGTCTGCACCAATCTTACCTTACTTCTCAGTGGCCAACGAAGTGACCGCCACCAACAGGTTGATGTTAGCAAGTTGGTTACAACTTCTGTTGCAACTAAGTATCGAACCGAGCTAGCTTCTAGGCTAGCTACCGTTCCACCGAAAAGTACAGATGAGGATTGGCGAGTAAAGCCACATGCTGCTTCGCGAAACGTCCCGCTTATAAGCAGCGGGTTTCTTCAGGCTCCTTACAATTCATCGAAGCCCGTCAGTCTACTCCGGGTAACCGTGAGTTCGACCACAAACGGAGGCTGTTATGTAATGAAATCGGGCAAAGCTTGCGTAAGGACTAAGAAGCCTAGTGGTCGGAACGTGCTAATGAACTGGAAGCAGCAGCTGCATCTGGTAACTATCGGAAGCTCTTCCAACTCATCCCAACCACTGGTAGCAAGAAGTCTGGTGTGTGCGAAACAATCTGCGAGAATGACGGGATGCCAATCACCAACATCCATCGACGTCTTGGACGATGGGCAGAATTTTTCGAAGGGCAGTTCAACTGGCCTGCTGTTCCAGCAACATCAATCAGACTATCCTGCTCTCCATAACCGATGACAACTGATCCACCAAATGAGGTGGGAGTCCGCAAGGAACTCCAACTCTTGAAACGTCACAAATCACCAGGCCCAGATGACTTGCCTCCGGCTCTTTTTAGACATGGTGGTGACTTTCTGACTAAGGAAGTGACTGTGTTGTTTACAAAGGTCTGGGAACAAGAGAGTGTTCCAACGTCATGGAATGAGTCGATAGTTGTCCCTATCTTTAAAAAGGGTTCACGTCGTTCCTGTAACAACTATCGGGAGATAAGTTTACTTCCGATTGCGTCCAAGCTATTGGCTTCCGTCATACTTCGTAGGTTGTTCAAAACCCGAGAAAGATTGACTCGCGGGGAGCAGGCTGGGTTTCGTTCTGGTCGAGGATGTATTGATCATATCTTCACCCTCCGCCAAATGTTAGAACATCGCCATACTTATCAAAGGCCAACAATCGTAGTGTTTCTTGACATCAGGGCTGCCTTCGATTCGTTGGATAGGACTGTTCTCTTGGATTTTCTACTGAAGAAGGGTGTGTCTGAGAAGTTTATTAACATCCTAAAAGCCCTATATACAAACACCTCAGGCAGAGTGAGGGCATACAACCACCTTTCTCCATTGTTCTATTCGAGCAGTGGGGTTAGACAGGGTTGCCCAATCTCACCATTCCTCTTCGGCTTTGCCATCGAAAACATACTGGAAACAGTTCTGATGGATGTAAGTAATGGCTGTATGGATCTGTTGCCAGGAGAAAGACTTCTCGACCTTGAGTTTCGGATGATATTGTCGTACTGTGCGATAATGCCCAAGCCATGCAATCCGCACTTAATCAGTTATCAATCAGCGTCCGTAGGTATGGTATGTGCTTTGCACCTTCGAAGTGCAAAGTACTTCTACAAGACTGGCAGGATTCTAATCCTGTGCTCACTCTGGATGGTGAGCAGATAGAAGTAGTGAAGAAGTTCGTGTATCTAGGTAGCTGCATAAGTGCTGGTGGTGGCGTGAGTGATGAGATCAATGCACGTATAGTGAAAGCCAGAGCGGCTTATGACAATCTGGGCCATCTTTAGCGCCTTTGTGATGTTAGTCTGGCTGTGAAAGGTCGGATCTACAACTCGTCAGTGAGAGCAGTTTTGCTCTAAGCTTGTGAAACCTGGCCTCTTCGAGTTGAGGACTTTGGACGATTCTCTGTGTTCGATCATCGCTGTCTCCGAAGGATTGCTGACATCCAATGGCAACACCATGTTAGTAATGCAGAGGTTCGGCATCGTGTGTTCAGGCACAAAGACGATAATGCAATTGGTGTCACCATCTTGAAACACCGACTTCGGTGGCTTGGACATGTTCTACGAATGTCGTCGCAGAGAATTCCACGTCGTGCATTATTTGCCGACTTTGGGACTGGTTGGAAAAAGCGGAGAGGTGCATAACATGGTGTCGTGGTATGAAAGAAAGCTGCAAAGGACTGGCTTCTGTTGGACCTTCACGACTCCCTGGTTGGGGTCTGAGAGATGGTGCTACACAGTGGCTAGAGACGTTATCAGATATGGCTCAGAATAGAAGCCAGTGGCGATCCTGCTGTAACCTTCTTTTAATTTCTTCGTAGAAAGTGGTTGCTTCTTCCTTAACTGGAAGATTTCTTCTGGTTGTACCTTTCCGTTCCCCCATTATTACTATTATTATTACACTACCTTACACTAATCTATTCGTTGTTGTTCCCCTTTTCTTTCACGCTCTTTACCTTTTTTTCCTTGTTTTTAAATTCTCATTCTTTTGTGTGGCGCATATATATTTGGTGCCCTCTTGTACCAATATTTATGTGTTCAAATAAAATTAAAAGAGGTAGAGAAAATAGGGTTTGATTGTAAACGAGGTTATCTCAGTTGCATTTAGAGGTATGAGGGCGCTTTTCACTTCCCGGTTACCCACACCGTGCTGAAACATCTCTTCTTTAGGGTTCTGGAAATTAAATAAAAATTACAGTGGTCTTAGAGACCTGGGAACCTGTCTGCAGCGCCTTTGGGGTAGCTGCTGGAAGCTCATCACCTACATACTTTTTGCAGTTCTTGTTGTATTAGCTACTTACTTCTAAGTCTTTACCTCTGTCAGCGGAAATCCGTGGTACAAGGTGATGTGTAGTCTTTTTTGGACCGATGTTTTATAACCTCTTCCGTTTTAAGAAGGTAGCCTCGCTGTAGATCTAAATCCTGGTTATTTTTGAGAAACACCTCACTCCATCCCTATACGACCAGCAGTGTGACTTCACTGTTCGACGTTAAGTTGTTGCTTTTAGCTTTACCACTCTCCACCCTACTTGGGCCAGTAGGACGTAAAAAACCAGCGTTCAGCCAATATATCTCGATTTGATAATCATGATATGGAAACTCGACCACTACGTCAAAATAGCAGCTGCGGTCGGTTCTGTCTCACCTATCGCATCTCGGTCAGTTAAATGGTCAGTCAGTCAGCTATAACGTAGGACCAGGCATATATGTGCATCTGTCTAATTTCATGGTAAAAGTGCAGACAGAGGGTGTATACATCTACTTTATTGTGATAGATTCTGTAGCATATCACCCAGAGTCTCGAAACATTGGTTACGATAGTCATGCAGACCCCAACCAAGTAGTCTGCGTTTAACGACATGGATAAGACCAGAAGTTAGTTACCACAATGACTGATGCCACGTTTAGGTCTGGCCGCCCCTACCTTTCTTTCAACCATCCACAACACTAGTCAGCATCACACGTCGCGGTAATCGGTGTTCAGGTATACGTAACACGTGGCACAACATCTCAGTCGATGAAGGTATACAACCCTAATACCTTGCGTCTAACCTTACTATTACTTACCCGGTGATCCCAGAAGATGCGAGCAACATTTCTAAGGCATCTGTGATCAAATACTGATAGCTTACGAGTATCTCCTAATCTTAATAGTCACGTTTCGCAGCCGTAAATTAGAACAGAACGGACTGCCGCGCAGTATGCTCGTCCTTTTATTGATAGACGGATATCTCGCCTTTGCCGTAGGTGACGTAAGTTGGTAGAAGCCAAGCAGGCTTTTCGAATCCGTGCTGAGTTTTCGTCAGACACCAACCCATTAGGGCTGATTAGACTTCAAAGATAAGTGAAGTTGTCAACGCATTCAACTACTTCACTCCCTATCGTTAGTTCAGGTGTTGACGCAGACCAGTCCTGAAGCAACAACTTACATTTAGAGGGAGAGAAACGCATTTCAAACATTCTGACGTTGTTACTTAGTGTCACTAGAAGACTACATTTTATCAGTGTCTTCACCAAACAGGACTATATCATTTGCGTATTCTAAGTCAATATATGGACCTCTTGGTAGGAGATCAATGCCCGAAAATTCAGTCGATGAGAGCGTTATTTCCATCAGTAGATCTACGATGAAGTTGAACGAAAATGGAGAAAGTGGACAGCCTTGACGGCACCACTTGAGGTTGCAAAAGCAGGTGACAGTTCGAGTAAAGAGCCCTCACAAGGTTTGTGTACTTCTGAGGTACACCTTTCAATGACAGACTGTTAAGTGATACCATTATTTCATCTCCGTAGTTCTCACAGTCGTTACGAATTAGCTGAATTATGTTTCGTCTTCACGTTTAAGACTGCGATTATTTATAGTAACATATGCGATATTACTACAAAGTGTTTCTAACGCTGGTCTTGGAAGTTTGAGTTTTCGAATCCATTTCACTTCTAGAAAATGCTATTTATTAAATGTGTTATCACTTTTGTCCCTTTTAATTATCACACGATAAGATCGCCAATTAGAATACCGACTTATATGACCTTGACACTGCCGAACCGATGGCACATAAGCCAGTACGAGCAGCCTATAGTCAACTCTGAGTTCTTATTGGTTCTCTGAGATTGTAGCTATTTGCTTAACCCAACCGGTTCAGCCCAGTACAGTAATATCAGCTTTCACTGTATGAATCATATATTTCAGAATACTTGGTTTGTATACAAGCGAACCAGACCACATACCAAAAAATAAAAAAAACAACAACAATTGTACAAGATCAAGCCAAAAAGTGGTTGTGATTGTGAAAGACTATTACTGATAAATTGGGAATAATTTAAGGATAGCAAATTTTATCATAGTAGTCAATAGGTCAAATAAAAGCTAGTGTTAAAAGGAACTTAACTATATATTATCTAGTTACTTAACAGTTATACAATAAGAATGTATATGTTAACAGTCTATAATTAGTTCCCGTAATTTACCAGTAACTTAATCTTTAGATATAACAAACTATTAAACTCATCAGTGGCACGCATCCTTAAACGTTTTAGTAATTTCCTAACATTTTGATAAATTAGAATGATAGAAAAGACATGTAACTTGAAAAGTTTGTGCGAATGATGTTGTCTAGAAAAATAATGAAAGCTGCATGACTAAATAATCTAGCTTCAAATGACAAAAATTAAAATAAATTACTTACCTAATACGTTTACAGCTTTCACATTTAATCCTTTTTAAAAGAGCCGGATGCCAATTAAAATTGTTTAGTTGAGTAGAATCAAAATATTTTAACTGTTTTCCTACCATTTGTGTATTATATTGATAGGAATAAGTTTCTAATTCACTTGGTATTGTTTGGCTTGTATCTTCCCATTGAGGTTTAAGACTGCAATTGATCAGTCTGTTATTGGCATATGTGCATACTGTGCGTATGCATCGATATTACCTTAATTCACAAGCTATTTGTAAGCAATGATGGATAATGGTTAGCAGTGGAATCCAGGACGCGCGTTTCGTCCTATTTGGGACTCGTCAGCTGGATGTACCTGCATCTCAGAGAGTTGATGTTCTAATGATTAAAGCATTTTAAAATTGTTTGATCATGAAATATGGTTTACAAATGTTATGATAATATTGGCAGGTGTTTATTTACACAACGGTTGAAAATTAGTGAGTTTGTAATACACTCCAAAAACGTTTATGTTGAGGATTTTACGTAGACTGTCTTTCTTCATTTTTTGTCCTCTTGGACTTTAGTGTTCTGGATGATTGTCTGTCTATTCTACTTTTGTATGATATTTATCTAAAATATTATCTTTTTATGTAGACACAAAAATGATGTCTCTACTATGGTACTATCGTCCTGAACATATATCTGGCGCATCACACAATTTTGTCAAGAATGAACTTTATGCAAGCAGACATCGTGACACTAATCCACTTGATTGTATAGAAGACAAGGCATATGTACTTTCAGTTAGTGCATATAATCGTTATATGGCAAAGCTTAAACGTCAACAGGTAAATTTATTTTTCTAAATGAAGTATTTCCTATAATCCCTTCGAATTTTACATCATTCTAAAGAAATTAATAGTGCAATATTTACCTTGTTATTTTTTTCTGTTTTTTTTCCGTGAGCTGAAATTTTACGGTTTCCTAGTTGAGGTTTATTCATATATTCTAAAGCTTTAAACAGACGAACTAAGTATTTCGAAATCCACCAATAAGGGCCTTTAAATAATAGTTTGTATTTATAGTTATTACAGTTATAAATATTTGCTTTGACTGTGTAACATGTGTTCAGATCAACTTCTGTCTCTTAATAGAACGTTTATTCAGAAGATCTTACTTAACAGCATAGAGCAACGAAAAGTAAAGGATTTGTTATTTCCAATTAGTATTCTACATCCGACATCAAAATTCCCCATTCAGTAGATCGAAATGCACTAGCAATGTTTTAGAGACACTTATCATTACATATATAGATGAATGGAGAGGGGATTACTTCACTATGTAGTCGCTAAGTCAATGAGTTTCCAGACAAGTAATCAATTCTTAGGAGGTAAATTCAACAAAATAAGTAAAAATGGGTAAAGCTGAGAGTATTTTATAAGATTTGATCTACCTTCAAGTGTTCAAATAAAGAGAATTTAATAAGCTAATCGCAACAGCAAACAATGCTACAAATCATTTAATATCGAGAGAACAGAATACCGTCTTCAAATAATTTAGTGGAGCTACAATTGAATGTTGGCATATATGCCAGTGAATTGTAATTTTGATAAACTCCATCACCTTCGGTGCTGAAATATTGTCTTTTTGAGTTGTCGCGTATGTTCTGGCTCATTGACAACTGTAGTTTTAGTTTTGACATCTGTATAATAACTAAGTAGGCAAGTATTACGTTTAACTCAGATTTAATTCTAGTAAATTGTTTCCTTGTAATATTTCAGACGGGCTATCGGAAGATGCCACTTAGTTCCATTGTACCTCAATCTATACAGTGTGGGTTACATGGTAGTAATAGTTCAAACGATAACTTTTTCATGGATAAAGTAAGTTCAGGATACTCAACAGAGTTCTTTGTTTTTACAAGTACTACTTATATTTAACAAGTTTGCTTTGATGATACACTTTTAATAGACAAATAGTTGTAGTCAAATTTGTTTCAAAATGATTAGAATTATATAGTGTGTTAATCGCGTTTGAGTAACTGTACTGAGCTATTAACCGAGAATAAAAATATTGCTAAGATTAGAACATTATTAGACTTTATTGCATATGGTCAGCATGGATAACCTCAAGGTTGATGAGCACACACATTTTCTTTGAAAGTTAATGCTATCATTTAACGTAAATTTAAATTAAAGATAAGTTGATGTCTAGAATTATCGTATTCTATTGTAATTGTTTGTTTTATTACACTAATCTAGTTTCTTTCAACCACTATTTTTAAACTTAATGCACTGAATATTAGATATTATATAGATAACTACTGTACAACACTTACCTTATTATAATTACATTGATGGGATGGCTTTGCAACTAAAGTATTCAACTTCCTATCAATGTATTGAAATTGGAATCTGGTTTTTTTCTGATCAACAGAATGGTATCACCAGCTCTCATGTGAAATAACTGAAAACTGATTTCACAACTTTATACTCAGCTACTCGGTAGTTGGATTAGAGTTAGTTGCGCTAAAACTATATAATCGACTCTAATTTGTTTATCATACCCCAATTTTGTTGAAATAGTTTTAACTACTCATTTGAAATGTATGATTTCAGATTAACTCATAAACTTTTATGAAAATCTGTATCAGTCAAAGCATTAAATCAGTGAATTAAATTAAGCATTCTCTTTACTGTTTTATCGAAGTATATTTCGTAGATTTAAGTGTATTGTTTTTGCATCGTGTTATTCATTTGAATCCCTCCTCATTAATGTTTGAACAATCGTAGAATATCGTTAGCGACACTCATACGCCATTGCATACATTTAACAAGTTACATTTGGACATTTGTGATTCTGTGTTGTAAGCGTAATAAATTTATATGTTCTAAAACATAAGTCTGTTTGCTGTGTTTTATTGAACCATTCTCTACAATTTATTACATAGTTCAGTAGACAGTAATATAAAGCATGTGAAGGTTTGTATGTTTCTAAGATAGTTTTCATTATGTACTGATATCAGAACCATTCAACAACAGTAGGGGGTTGGACAAGTGTTTCATCGTGGTTTCGGAGACACTCCGAATTCCAGAGTTCTAAATGATAGTTGCTTGATTTCTACTCTGTGATTCCATTTTTTCTTTTCCGTGAAACCTGAATATATGGGGTTTATTACTTTGTAGGACAATTGACAAAAAATCATTGAAAAATCTTAAATTGATCAGAAAAAAGCACCCATTAGCTTCTAGTCCTAATAGTTCTTTAATTGATGTTAGTTCACGATAAAAATTTGCGCAAAATTTAAAAATCTTTGAGGTCTATTTTTATTTCTTGAAAATCCATTCTTATTTATATCTAGTTGATTTACTGTTTTCGTTATTATTTTTTTGCAGCAGTTGTTATCTGAATGTGATGAATGTTTTAACAATGTCAGTTGTCAAAGTGTTTTCTTCTGCCGTGGCTTGTATGATTATAAACTAAAACGTGTTACTAAATACCCTGTATTTGGAAATCAGTGTATCTTATCTTCTCATTTTGTTAATCGACCCAAATTTTATGGACAGCATTTTACACCACCAGCAACAACATTAACAACGAAAAATGTTACTGAACATAATAACTTGGACATTTCAAATGATCACTGTTGTGACACATCCGTTTCTCTTAAGGATGATGTTCATAAAATCGTTAATACAATTGAACCCATAACTTCGTTGGATGAAAGTGTACCCTTTACAGTGTGTTCAACGTCTATAGTTTCTATGGGGAAAAACACAAACACCACAATAACACCGTCTCAACTTGCCGAAAATGATTGTCATTTTGTTGATAATTCTCATATGAACGGAGAATGTGAGCGTTTACCTTATGGCAATCATGAAGGTAGAACATCAACTCCTGTAAAAAATCGTGATCAATATAAAGGTGTTGAAGAAAGTATAACAACTGTTGTCGAATCGCAACGGACCTTGATTACCGAAAACAACTCAAATGCTCCACCCAAAATGTATTCGACTGATTCATGCGTTGAAATCACTAAACCAGATATATTAATTTCAGAAATTCGTGTAACTTCACCAAATGTAGAGTCCCAATTCACTTCGTGTTCATCTTTAGAAAAAAAACTGTCTAAGGTGACTGAAAATTCCATCGTTCAGTCACTGGAAACCAATTGTTCATCAACTGTCGTTGGACAACTATGTGAAAACAAACCAGCAAACCACTTTGCATGTCAGTCTAACTTCTCACCTGTTCAACCTGTATGGCCAGTAGTTACTACATCTTTAATCAGCTGTGATAGGTCTATCCTTGAAAGAAGTGCTGATATATCAGTTAATTGGGGTGAGCATGGTGAACAGATTGCTTTGTCTCTTGATTGTAGGATTAAAGAGAATAATCTTAATGGCAACAATCAGATAACATCACATCTTACTATGTCTTCCGAATCTCTAGGTTCAACACAATCGTTTATTGATATGACAAAATTACCCGTACATCCTAATCCGATGCATTATTCCAAAATTAACTCAAAATGTCTTGATCAGGATCAACCACGTCTAGTAATACTTTGAGTTGTTTTCAACCATAAAATTGCAGTTTACATCACTGTGAACAGATTTCCTAAAATTAAATCTAAAAAATGTAAGGAAACTCCTCAGTTTAGCTGTGACATACATATTCATCTAGTTTTGTCCTACCGTACAACTGTTTAATAGATGGGGCATCACTGTGAAGTTATACTACTGAAATTCTCTTTCAATTAAATGAAAGATTAATGACACTATTAACTTTTTCACACTACATTTCACAGATTACTGAAACTAGCTACACTATTATTATAAAATCTACTACCTAATTTAGTTTTTTGTTAACTTTAACTAATATTGTCACATATATTCATTTATGAAAACAAACAAGGTTTCTTTTTTCAATCTGCTAAATAATTGTTTTGTCTATAACTCTTTTTTTCTTCATTGTTTCTTTTTATGTGTGATTATCATTATCTATCAGTTGTATATTTCTCATTTACTACTTCAGATAAAGAATGCAGCATTCTCAGTTTTGTTTTTCTATTTCTACTCATGTAATGTTTGTTTCAGCTTTTCGTTTTTAAGTTATATATATAATCACTAATCCGTCGATAATGTACTGTCCTTTTATGTACACTGAAATAGTATATCATACTTTTTATTTTAGAATTTAATCTATTTGTTGAATTCATTGTGTATATTTTCATTTAAATAAGAATTGAGTGTTTATTTTGAAAGATACGAGTTTGTTCTGAACTTATTCACACGGTTGTACCGCACTTTATCCTAGTGTACATGAATGTTTTCCGGGTCATTAAAAAAATTCATTTTTTAGAGAAACAAACTGTAGAATGTAAATTATGACTATTTTTCTTACTATCACGAATCCGATCGCCTATTAATTAAATATCTTGGACTATGGTAAGAGTAACTTAAAGATTCATAGATTTCTGATAAACTTCTCAATTAAAAAATGCAACTCTTTCCGTACAAAACCCACGAAATATTGACTCGTGAAGTAGTGTCTCGATATTAGGGCCGCCTTCGATTCATTGGACAGAACTGTTCTCTAGGGTTATCCCATTGAAGAAGGGTGTGCCTGAGAAGTTTATTAACATCTTGAAAACACTACATTACTAACACCTCAGGCAGTGATGCCATACAACTACTTCTCTCCATTGTTCCATTCAAGGATTGGAGTCAGGCAAGGTTACCCGATCTCACCATTCCCCTTCAACTTTGTTATCGGTAAGTTCTAGAAACAGCTCTGATGGATGTAAGTAATGGTGGTGTGAATCTGTTGCCTAGAGAAAGACTTCTCGACCTTGAGTATGCGAGTGATATTGTCTTACTGTACGGTAATACCGAAGCCATGCAATCCACACTTAACCAGCTGCCGATCAGTGTCCGTAGGTATGATATGTGCTTTACACATTCTAAGTGCAAAGTACTCTTACAAAAATGGCTGAACCTGGACTCCTTGGTAGTGATTAGATAGAAGTAGTTGAGAAGTCCATGTATCTGGGTGGCTGTGAAAGTGCTATCGGTGGAATGAGTGGTGAAATCGATCCACGTATGGTGGAAACCAAAGCAGCTTATGCCGATTTGGTCTATTTTTGGTGCCTTCATGTTGTTAGCCTGGCTGTAAAACGTTGAATGTATAACGCGTCCGTGGGAGCAGTTTAGCTGTACGCGCGTCAAACCTGACCTCCAAGTTGAGGATATTAGACAACTCTCTGTTTGATTATCGTTGTCTCGAAAGGGTCGCTGATGATCAGTGGTGACACCATGCTATTAATGCGTAGGTTCGGCAACGTGTGTTCAGTCACAGGATAATTCAATTGGTATGACCATCTTGGAACACTGACTTCATTGGCTTGGACATGTTTAGTGAATGTCGTCTCAGTGGATTTCATATCGTGCATTATTTGGCAACGCTACGATTGGGTGGAAAAAGCGGAAAGGTGGTCAGTCTATGACATGTCGTCGTACAGAAAAAAAGTCATCTGTCTTTCACGACTCCCTGGTCGGTGTTCTAGAGATAGTGGAATATAGTGGCTTGAGATGTGAATTGAAAGTTGGAGCCAGTAATGGCCCTTCTGTAATTTTCTTCATGAAAGTGAGACTCCCCTTGATTGGAAGAATATATTCTGGTGATATTTTTCTTAGCTAAATTGCTTCTCGCGATTTTTTTACTCATTCACTAATTTGTATTCATTTTGGTTATTTTATTATACTCACTTTCGTTTCTTTATCTTTTAACAATCCCATTTTTATTGTGTAGTGTATATTTTTTTGGTGCCTCTTCGCTCTAATAGTTAGGTGTTAAAATAAGTAAACAGTTCACCCCAAATATTTCGAATAGTATACATTGCACAGTGAATAGTTCTTCCAATTTGGTCAATGGAGGTAGTTGTCGTGCAGATTTTCAGCAATCCCATCCTTTAACACTAAAACTAGTTTTTCCCAAAAAATGGGTTCGAATCAAATTCGACATTGTATATCATACTCAACAGTGGTATTCGTTATAGGTAATACGTGAAATACTTGTACTTTTATTTACATTGAAATGGTAGAACAATGTAATCAGACTAGAATATGTTCGGTTTTTTAAATGGTTTCGATTTCTGATGCTCGGAAAGTGTCTAAGATGTGAGAAACATTGTTACATAACACAAATATATCTAATCTTTTTATCCTTTCTTCCTAGCAGCTTCTATCTTTTTTCACGCTCTTTAAATATCTCATGTGATACAGCCGACGAGAAACGTTAGAACTCATTGGTTATATTAGAATGCATAGCACATGCACTACTGAACTGCTGGAATATCAGAGGCCAAAAGGTATACCATGATTGCGAAGAATTACTGGCAAGCGAAAATATGGCTGCATGTACATTTTTAATTAATCTTAAATTATAATGGAAATGATTGGTTTAATGCTAGAATAACTTTTTCAACGCTATTACTCAGAACAAGTAGAGAAATCCTCTTGCTGAGGTTCTGAAAATGTAATTTTTTCTAATCTATACATAGTGTTAGTTAAAATCGTTAAAGGCATTATAAAAATTTTGTTACATCTTATGATATATCCAAGGAATTTCCGTGTATCATAATCTATAGATGAAGTACATAGGTATTCTTACTGTTCATCTAACCCTAAATTATTAAACATCATCCTGTCAGTTCTTCTTAAATACGTTATTTGTTGATTCTATATACTACATGAAAGTACAGCAGCATGGTGTATCCTAGATCCAAATAATGTTAGATAGATTGATATGAATGAAGATCCTATGGGAAAGAAGTTTCTGGAACATCGAATGGGACGGTAGCGAAAGACTGAGACTAGAATCACATGGCTACATGATGATTTAATCGAATACAAATTGGTGATAACTAGGGACAAATTAGTATAATCTCAGTTGGTTAAATAAATTAAAGAGTTTAAAGATGTTACCCCAAGGAGATTCACCCAGAGAAGATATATTCGGAAGGAAAAGAAAGATCAATGTCTGTTTCCTATTGAAAATAGGTTTCAAGAGAATGATGGCCGTAGTTTCAACCTACTTGGGATGAGGTTGGTTATTAATCACAACGGTATATGTCAAAGTATCTAATAAACGTATAGAAACCATACTATTGGACACTTGTCTACATGTTTAAAGGATATAGGGTAGGTACTTCTTTCTGTTTTTCCAATTCGACTGCATTGGCAGATACATGTAAAGTGATAAATAGTACTGAAGGTATGAAAAATCTTCCGTATGTTAGTTAATCTCAAAAATTAATCGAACAGTAATGTAATTCTTATTAGAAAGCTCTGAAAACGGTCGAAAAGTATATTGTGAACATGAGTTGGATATTCATGGAAAAAAATTCGACAATGAAATTTAATCAGACTTGTTAGCTATATATCTTTCTTCATTTAGGCTATACATTTTTATATTAACCAATCAGCAGAATATAGCATACGATTGAGTTTTTAGGCATTGGAATAGATTCTATCAGCCAAGTTAACTAACTTGACGCTAGAGTACAGTTAATACCATAACTATTTAAGCGAAATAGTTGTTCTTTTTATCGATCTCATCTTTAAAATCTGCACAATCATATTTACATGAGATGATTTATGTGATGAACGAGTTCGTATTCATTGGTATAATGAATGGAAATCACAGTGTGCTGTTCAGTAATAGTTGGGTGGAACAAGACAACACCGGATATGAAGACATCATGGGATGACATGAACTAGGAGAAAGAAACGAAAATGGTGAGAGATTTGCAAACCTGTATGCCTTCAATAAACTGGCTATAGGCGGCACTATTGCTAGGATGTGCAGGAAAATATACCAATAGTTATCATGTTAAGTCTAATGTTGTCCTTGGACGCTAAATGTACATTCCCTATTGGTCGATATTTACTTCACTTGTTTAATATTGTGTAAATGTTGTTTTCCATTTTTATGGTACGATGTGGTATGTTTGGTTAGTATATAAATAAAGTATGTCTGAAATACAATGATTCATATCTCAGAGGCTGTGACTTTCGTTCTGGACTCAACTGGCTGGGATAGACAGGGAAGCAGGGCCAATCAGGACACTAGGTCGTTCGTATGTGTTTACGTGTCACAGAGGCGATCGATATAAACGCTGCTTATCAAAACCTGCAGTCACCCACCCGTTACAACAACTATATTCCCACATAAAAGCATACACAAAGCCAAACGGACTTCATCGGTAATTACCAACATTGAAGAACAACGAAACAGGTGGGTAGAACAGTTCAAAGAACTCTTGAATCGATCAGCTCCACTGAACCCACCTAATATCGAAGTAGCACCCACGAACCTCCCAATCAATTTTGGCCCACCAACAATTGAAGAAATCAGTATAGCTATCAGGCAAACCAATGGCGGCAACGCAGCGGGACCAGACAACACTCCAGCAGAGACACTGAAAGCAGACATAACAATAACTGCAAAGATACTCCACATTCTCTTCAGCAAGATCTGGGATGAAAAACACGTACCAACAAACTGGAAAGAAGGACTTCTGATCAAGATACCAAAGAAATGCGATCTCAGCAAGTGTGAGAACTAGGGAGGTATCACTCCTCTCTCAACACCAGGAAAAGTCTTCAACAGGATATTGTTAAGCAAAATGAAGGACTCCGTAGACGCCCAACTTCGAGACCAACGAACAAGATTCCGTAAGGATAGATCGTGTACAGACCAAATAGCAACTCTATGGATCATTGTGGAACAATCTATTGAATGGAACTCATCACTCGACATCAACTTCATTGACTACGAAAAAGCATTTGATAGTGTGGACAGGACAACAATATGGAGGCTTCTTCGACAATACAGCGTGCCTCAGAAGATATTCAATGTCATACAGAATTCCTATGACGGATTAAACTGCAAAATCGTGAATGAAGGACAGTTGAAAAAGTCAGGCAAGGCTGCTTACTCTCACCCTTTCTATTTCTCCTGGTGATCGACTGGATCATTAAGACGTCAACATCTGGTGGGAAGCATGGAATACAGTGGATGTCTAGGATGCAGCTGGACGATCTAGACTTCACAGATGATCTGGTCCTCCTATCGCAATCGCAACAACAAATGCAGGAGAGAGCGAACAGTGTAGCAACAGCCTCAACAACAGTAGGTCTTAATATACACAAAAGGAAAAGCAAGATTCTCCGATACAACACAGCATGCATCAATCCAGTCACAATTGACGGAGAAGATTTGGAAGATGTAAAATTCTTTACATATCTGGGCAGCATCATTGATGAACATGGTGGATCTGATGCAGATGTGAAGGCGCGTATCGGTAAAGCAAGAGCAGCATATTTACAACTGAGGAACATTTGGAACTCAAAGCAACTGTCAATCAACACCAAGGTCAGGATTTTCAATACAAATGTCAAGACAGATCTACTGTATGGGGCGGAAACCTGGAGAACTACGAAAGCCATCATATAGAAGACACTGGTGTTTATTAACAATTGTCTACGCAAAATACTTCGGATCCGTTGGTCAGACACTATTAGCAATAACCTACTGTGGGAGAGAACAAACCAGATACCAGCGGAGGAAGAAATTAGGAAGAAGCGCTGGAAGTGGATAGGACACGCATTGAGAAAAGCACCGAACTGCGTCACAAGACAAGCCATCACATGAAATCCTCAAAGCCAAAGGAGAAGAGGAAGACGAAAGAACACATTACGCCGAGAAATGGAGACAGACATGAGAAGAATGAACAACAATTGGATAGAACTAGAAAGGAAGGCCCAGAACAGAGTGGGTTGGAGAATGCTGATCGGCAGCCTATGCTCCATTGGGAGTAAAGGGTGTAAGTAAGTACGCAAGGAATAGGTTAATAATAAATGAGTCATCAGAGGGACGAGGAATCACAGAACATGTGAGCGATTATAGGTGAAAGGCAACAAGAGGATGAAACTTTGGTGTGAATCGACAACTAAGTAGATAGGGATTGGTCTGAGATAATTGGTTGAAGGTGGTCATATATTTGTACTAATAAAATGAATGGAGTGTTTGTTGGGGGGAGTATATTCGGATGTAACAAATTAGATATAAGATAACATATGATGCAAAGATAAAAGAGGCTAATATAGAGCGAAGAAACTACGTAAATGCAAATAAAGAAATATCAATGGCCACGCTGAAAACAGCGATCTTACATACCGTTTTTAGAAGCATCAATCTCCTTTTATATTGGTATTGGGAAGGTTTCTGCAATACAAAAATGTCTGCATTTGCCTTTAAACGGATTCATTTTGATTTTGCAGATAATCACGTATTCTAAATCCGATACTATGTGATTATAATTAATTACATACTATAGGATAGATGACTTCAAAATTTTGGGTTATCATTTATAGAGAGATATGCTGCCAAGAAATTATTATACTTTCTATCATTGAACGTACAACGATATTTATTATGTTTCATGCCATGCAAAATATAAATAACTGATGCTATTCACATTTAATATATAACAAATACATTGTATACTATAATACATGATAGTGTATTTCAAAAATAGTGAACCTCAATCAAACAAATAAAAAGACTATTTGTTTTTTATTTTATCGTCTTCCCTCAACCATGATAATATGATATCCGTATTGTGTTTTAACTGGAGGATCAGTGTATTTGGGATTTTCTAAAGTTGATATAGGCAAGTTAAATGCTGCATCCTATGAAAATTTTTCGAAAAAACAGAACATAATAAGAATTGATATTTTTCTGGTAAAACAACATGATAATACTTAATAAATATGAATAATGAATTTTACATGAGATTGATTAACAACACTAATATAAGCTTGATTGCGAGATTTGTGTAAGAATAGTTTAATTCTGAATAATTTTTTGAGTCATGATTGATATCGTCTAAGAAACCATTTAAATCTATGGAAAAATAAACCAGTGTTAAATTCTTAAGCAGTGCCCAATGATAACCTTAACACCTTTAAGTTTCGTGATGAGCGCGTTAACACTGGCATATATCCTCAAGCTCAATCAATTCCAGATATAATTATGGATCAATACTATACGTATATTTTTATCGTATAATTGTTAATTGACTAAACTATTCATATTCATGTCTCTCTTATTATGAGCTTTATTTTGATCTGTGAACTGTTATTATACGATTTTGCATTCTTGAATTATTCCTTATTTATTATTCACTACCTCCCACATTCACAGCCACATTTGGTCAAATCTTGTATAAATGTTGTTTTCTATTTTATGGTACGTTGTGGTCTGTTTGATTGGCATATAAACTCAGTATGTTTGAAATAAATGATTCATATTGCAGAGGCTGAAATTGGCGTTCTGGACTTAACTGGCTAGGCTAGGCGGAAAGCAAGACAAGTCAGAACTCCAGGCTGCTCGCACGTCTTTTACGCGTCCTTAGTTCGATCGATAATTTACTGCTCTCTGATTGCGCGGTATTATTACGTTATCCATTAACAGGGCACTGAGGCCACAAGTTATAACAGTAATACAACAATTATCTAGATTGATCTATAAATTACTACCACATGCTGAATTTCAACTAGATGCAAGTTATGATTAGAACTTTGGAAATCCACCTCGAAGTCAGTCAATATCGAATATATAATCAGTGTCGAGTTTGACGATTTAATAAAAATTGATTCGATTCCAATACAATTTTTGAGAATGATTTCGTAGTTAGCATCTATGTTTTGTTCTACTTTCTAATACAAGATATAACCCCATGTAAATTCATAAGTTTACTAAAAAGCAAGTAAATTTGTTATCATCATTTGAAACAATAGTTATACTTTTATGTTTTCTTCGGTCTAAGGAGAGCACAAAACAGAGCATAGGAATAATTTTGTAATATTGATAAAACTTTTGGTTGACATCATCATTATTCTTTTTATCATGATTAGAGATAATGATAATATTGATCATTTCAATTGAAATCATTACTTTTTGTTTTAGTCTTCAACAGTACACAAATTAGACGGACAAAAATATATATGACATGAACAGTGGTTCATGTTTGTTGTAATTACAGAAGAGTTCCAATTATTTATTATGGAATAAAAATATACAAAGTGCAAATTATAAGTTTGGTAGTGACAAATGAAAAAAATATCTTCTTTATAGAATATCGAATATCATTTGACAATGTCAATAACTTTTAAAGTCTCAACATTAGTGAATGCATTAATCTGGTTGACTGATAATTAAAAAAACAACAACACGGTAATACCAAGATGATGTGCAGTAATTGAAAACCCAACCAAATAAAGCTACACAACGATGAATCCAAATGTTAGTTGATAAGTCTTAACTAACTTTCATTTCTTTAATAGTGAACATTAACGATTCTTAATCTTAATTTTTTGCGAATTGAGTAATCCAAAAAATAGGTGAGATTTTGATAATTTATTGAAGATACGAAAGATAAATGATTAAACCGAGAAGTAGTTGTGCTTAATTACGTTTATAATGCTTTTTTGAAAGTATGGTTAAAAATTTTTTAAAGCAGAATTGAATGATAGGGGTAAACCAGTATGAATAAAACTAGCTTTGTATAGAGAAGAGTAGTGATGGAAAAATGTGAAAAACGTACAGAATCAGTAAATGACATAAACAATTTTAAGGGATACTTAATAGTACGACTCTTGAAAAATACCCGGTAAAAATAAAATGTATGATGACATGGCTCAGAATCGTTTGCAATGGCGCAGGTGTATACACTCTTTGTGTTCTCCCAAATTCTAATCTCCTGATTCCTCCTTGTCTCTTTTCTCTTTCCAACTTTATTTCACTGGATTATACTCCTTGACTAACATCTTCAAACCCTAATTTTTCCGATTACTGCTTATACTCTTACTACCTCTACCACTACGAGATTTGAATCGACAACTGCATCTCTGTGCTAATGTGGTATGGCAACTCAAACTGATGTACGTACGTACGAAGTTCTACGTTGTTACTGACTGACTGATGACGTGTAAAATATCGGAAAAACGAAGCAAACTATCGAAATCCGAATAAAAACATTTACTTAAAAAAAGTAACAATATTTTTTGTGATATCCTATTAAGTAATAATTTGTATTTCTAATGTTTCGTGACTGTAATTTATTAGAGGAAGAAAATACCACACCAAAATACTTGTATATCATAGTAGTTTTAATAAATTAAACGGAAAGTCATTCTATTGATTCCCAACATAAAAAAAAGTATTAGGTTCATCACAAATGAGTTGCTTGCATTGGTAACACTCTTAGTCTCACAATATTAGAGTTGATAACGAAGATATGAAGAGAAATATCAAGATGACACATTTTGATAGATACACAACTATAAATAATACAAAAGGTATATGTGATAAACTTAAAAGCTGTGACAAAATCATATTAATGTTACAACTATTGTAAAAGAAATTATTTAAAAACTCTGATACTATAGATTGCTTCAGACTATTTCATATCAAGACAATATTCAATAAAAATAGTTTTGACTGATTATTTATATAATTTTTCGTATCAGTACAGTCCATGTTAAAGTGATCAATTTCAAAGGTACTGGACTAATAGATGTATATATTTCTGATATTTATAATAACGAGAAAATACTATGAATAATACAATCTTATTAATGATGGTATAAATCTCAAGTAAGATGGTGTTATCATGAGGTAGAAAATAAAAGTGATTGAATTATCAATGCATAATCTCAAGTAAATTAAATTATAACTAACTTGAAATGCACCGACCATCGATCCACGGGACATCCATCCTAGATCACCCCCTGAACGAGCTTTATCTTCACTGTACATTTCTGCTACTTGATTAAAACGTTTACCATTTTTAAGTTGTTCTAAAGCTTCTAAGCATTTACTTTGTTTTTCACACAGTATATGACGTACCTTAAATAACAGTAAATTACAGGAGATTGTATTAAAAGCATATATAAGACGTAATCTAAACAGAATAGCTAATTATTACAATACCTCATAGGTTTGAAATTGGGTTCAGGATTACCAGATCATTTTAAAAGAAGTGATTACATTACTTCCGAACAAATGAAAGGATTAAATATTCTAATGGTCAAGGCTTCTACAAAATTATAAATGTAAAACTGCTTTCGCATACAGATTTTAAGGTTTTTCTAAGGTCAATCTTAGTTACTGTAGTAATATTCGGCAGTTATAATTAATTCTTGATAGTTTAACACTCATCTGAATCAGTCAGTCAGTCAACTACAACGTAGGACCAGGCACATATGTGCATCGGTCCAGGTTGCCATACCGCATCAACACAACAAGATGAACACCAGATTCATAACAGTGGTTAGGTAAAAGGTGGTAATATATAAGAGAAAGATTGCATATAGAGATATAGTACAAGAAGAAAGAATTGGTTAGTAGAAAGAAAGATATGAAGCGCTTTTAATCTCTTAGTTTAAGGGAAGAAACCGAGTGTATACACCGACGCCATTGTGATCGATTCTGAGCCATGTCACCAAGAGTCTCCAACCATTGGTTACGAAAGTCACGCGGACCCCAACCAAGTAGTCTGCATCTACCAACATGGCTCAGACTAGAAGTTAGTGACTTCAAGCACTGATGCCACGTTTTGGTTTGGCCGCCCCTAACTTTCTTCCAACCATCCCCAACACCGGATAGCATTGCACGTCGTGATAATCGGTGTTCAGGCATACGTAACACGTGGCCCAACCATCTCAGTCGATGAAGATTCATAACCTCATCAACTGATTTACCATCCTTTCCTAATACCCTGCGTCTAACCTCATTATTACTTACCCGATTATCCCAGCAGACGCCAGCAATATTTTTAAGGCATCTGTGGTCGAATACTAGCAGCTTGCGAGTGTCTTCTACTCTTAATGGCCATGTTTCGCTACCGTAAAGTAAAACAGAACGGACTGCCGCGCAGTATACTCGTCCTTTTATTGATAGACGGATATCTCGCCTTCGCCACAGGTGACGTAAGTTGGCAAAAGCCAAACGAGCTTTTCGAATCCGTGCTGAGATTTCGTCCGATACCAACCCATTAGGGCTGATCAGACTTCCAAGATAAGTGAAGTTGTCGACGCGTTCGACTACTTCACTCTCTATCCTTAGTTCAGGTGTTGACGCAGACCAGTCCTGAAGCAACAACTTGCATTTAGAGGGAGAGAAGCGCATTCCAAACATCCTGGCATTGTTGCTCAGTGCTACCAGAAGACTCTGCATTTTGTCAGCGTCTTCACCAAACAGGACTATGTCATCTGCGTATTCTAAGTCGATAAGTGGACCTCCTGGAAGGAGATCAATACCCGAGAACTCAGTCGACGAGAAAGTTATTTCCATCAGTAGATCTATGATGAAGTTAAACAAAAATGGGGAAAGTGGACATCCTTGACGGACACCACTTGAGGTTGCAAAAGTAGATGACAGTTCGCCATAAGCTCTCACTCGACTAGTAGTGTTCGAGTAAAGAGCCTTTACAAGGTTTATGTACTTCTGGGGTACGCCTTTCAATGACAGACACTGCCACAGAATCTCGCGGTCTACCGAGTCAAATGCTGCTTTTAAGTCAAGAAAGACCACCATTGTCGGACGCCGATAAGTATGCGTGTTCTAGAACCTGACGAATGGTGAATATGTGGTCGATGCAGCCACGACTAGGTCTGAAGCCAGCTTGGTTTTCTCGTGTTTGCAGCTCACGAGTCTTAGTTAGGCGTCTGATTATTATTGAGGCTAGTATTTTAGATACTATATTTGTTAAACTAATCCCTCTGTGGTTGTCACAAGATGATTTTGATCCTTTGTTATGTATTGGGACGATAAGTGATTGCGGCCAGTCAGATGGAATAACGTCTAACTCCCAGATCTTAGCTAAAATATTAGTCAACCTAACCGCTAAAATTGGACCACCATCCTTAAAGACTTCTGGAGCCAATCCATCTGGACCAGCTGCCCTTCCTCGCTTCAGATTAACTATAGCCTTTTGAACTTCTGCCAGAGTTGGGGGACCTACTTCAATGTTCCATGCACGCTGTCTGGGAATGGAGGGTAGTTGTAGAGTAGCTGAAGGCCAGCTGAACTGTTCTCTGAAATGTTCAGCCCATCGTTCTAAACGCCTGAACTGGGAGCAGATGCGTGTATCGTCTTTTTCTGATATAATCTCACTTACACTTGACTTATTAATTCCAGTTTCTTTTATTAGTCTGTAAAGTTGTCTTGTGTTCCCTATAGTCGCCGCCTTTTCCATCTCTTTTGCTTTCGTTGCCCACCACTGCTCACGGTCGTTTCTTAGACTTTTTCTTAACCTAGATCTGATTTGTTGTCGCTCTTCATCATGTTCGGAACCTGGTGGGACGAGTTTGCGAGAATCCATCAGTGTGATAGACTTTGAAGAAATTCACTGGTCCTTTGAAACTCTGTGGTTTAAGTTGCTAATAGATGTCACTGCTGCTTGTATGTCTTTCCAAGCAACATCTGGGTCAACCTCGTTTTCAGAACTACCTAATTGTGACCTCAGTTGTTCTTGGAACCTACTTTTAGTTTTCTCGCCACTCAATCCAGTTCTAATTGGTCTTTTTAATGTGGCTTTTTTGCGTCCGGTGAGGCGCAAGCAGATGCGTGCCCGTATTAGGGCGTGGTCGGAGTCCAAGCAGGTACTCCAAAATGAGCGACAATCTTCTACCGACCCTCTCCAACGATGACTGATGGCAATATGGTCTATTTGAGTCCATCGTTGGTTTGGTGTAGGGGGTCGCCATGTTAGATGATGTCTCTCCTTATGCTTAAAATTTGTGTTTGCTAAAAATAAGCAATTGTCTGAGCACAGTTGCAGCAGACGATCACCATTATCTGTTCGCTGTGCCGGAATGCTAAAATATCCACCTAAATGCCTTTCTGTGTGGTTTAAGCTACCTATCTGAGCATTAAAGTCACTCCCTACGAGTACTATGTTTGAGCGTTTAGCTTTCTGAAGAAGTTCAGAAAGCTTTCTGTAAAATTCATCCTTCACTTCATCTGAGCTGCAGTCAGTGGGAGCGTAGGCAGAAACGATAAAAGGCAACGACGTGTGTCCCTATCCTTCCGAGTTCTTACGGAGCCGTTTAGCCGAACAGCACATAGACGACTGTTGATGGGGATCCTCTCTAGCAGTGCTTGTTCGACCCTCATGCTTAGTGCTATGCCTATACCTGTCAGTCCACGAGAACTGGCCATCGGGTCGCGAGATACACGTAGGGTGTATCTCGTTGGATCTCCGTTTTGCCGAGGTGAGGTCAAGTGAATGATCACACTGGAATCCTGTATGCGTGTTTCTGAGACACAGCATACATCGATGGAAAGAGACTCTAGGGTTTTAGCCAAGGAAGCCTGCTGACCGATTTGACATAGAGTGCGTACGTTGAAACCTCCAATGTGTAGTTTGGAGCGAGGTTTCAGTAGACCTGGGACAGAGTTTTGAGCACTAGAATCGTTGGCTATGGTGACACTTGAGGAAGAAGCCGAAGGAGGAAGTTTAGGGTTCAAAGTCGATGTAGGAGGAATAATAGGAATTGAAGAGGAAGGTTGATTATGAATACAGTGGTCTTGGGTGCTGTTAGAGGTATGAGGGCGGTTATCACTTCCCGGTTGCCCACACCGTGGAAGGGTTCTTCTGGAGGTACCTGAAAAGGAAATTGGATTAGAGGCGGTCTCAGCGACCTGAGAGCGTGACCGCAGTGCCCAAGGGACAACTGCTTGAGGCCGGTCGCGCACGGCCTTTTTTTGGAAGGTTTTTGACGTGTTAGCTCCGTTCTTCAAAGAGCCTTACCGCCGGAGACGGAAATCCGTGAGGTAAGTTGAGGTGTGACATTTTTAGGGTCGACCTTTTCTAACCCCACCCCTCCTTGTGGGAAGGCAGCATCGCTGTCATGCTGGTTGTCTGAAGGAAACACCTTACTGCTGTCACACCTCTGTACAGTCAGCAGTACGACTTCGCCTTCGGACCTTAGGTTTGTTGCTTTTAGTTTTACCGCTCTTCAACCGACCTGTCTGACATGGTAGGACCTTGAGGAACGGTTGTTCCAGCCAGTATAGCTCGGTTGCTTCATCACGATAGGCAAGCCCGACCACCACGTCAAGGTAGAAACAACGGTCGGGACTCATCTGAATAATGATATATGAAGTGTAGGTATTACGTAAGATGTTAACATTAAATGGCAAGATGTGTAAAAAACTATCTTATTTTGTTACAGGGAGATAACAAAGCATTAACTATAATAGAAAGTAGTTTCCACTGAATCGTAATCGAAACTTTAAAATTGGGAATCAATATTAAGTAAAGAAATAGGAAAGGACATAAAGGTAAGATAATTCCAAAAAGATAGTATTATTTTCCCCAACACTGATATTTATTTAAACTAAATGTTACTGTAACCAACTACAACATGACACGACTATAGTATCTGAATAATTGAAACTATGTATTGTGCATATAATGACAATAACTTTGCAATATGTCTTTAATACCAAATTTACATCTTATTATTAGGCGTGTTTATTATATTGAATAAAGTAATCTATACTCCTAATCCACTGAAAATGTATGCTCATTTAAAAGTTCTTATTCAATCAAAATTTAAGTTGGTCATCAGCTGTTGAAATATTCATTTTAAAAGTTGAAATCACGAGTCGATCTAAGCCAGACCACCATTGAAAACCTGGAATCACTGGATGGCCATTTCGTTCAAATATGAGAATCCTCAGCAGTACGCATTCATAAAGTGATGAGAAAAATATTTATTAGAGCTCAGGATTCATCAGATTATTGAGTTTAAACAAAGTTCTGTTTATTTACGTTTGGAAAACCAGTTAGTATCAATGAATGTGATGAAACTAATTGTATCTTGTCTCCTCAAGGAATTTTTTAGTAAAAACGTGAAAAATCTGTTCAGAAATGAAAAAAAAAACATTAGAGTACGTGCGCGGCTCAGATATGAGTATATGGTAAATGAGTTATATTGTGTAGTTCAATAACGAATATACATATCTTTGACTGCAGTTTGAAATAAAATGTAGCACCATTGAAGAAATTTAATGACGCCATTGGAAAACACCTACTTACAATCCATATCAGCAGAAAGAAAACAAACTGTTTTACTAATTTGACGTTTGTTACATTTCAATTTGTCGGTGAAAAGAAAGTACACCTACTTAAAAAAATCTTTCTCAAATCAAATATTCATCACCATAGAAAACAATAATTACGGTAAATCACAATTAAACTAGTAAATCAGTCAACTTGAAGGTATAACCATCATACTGAGTAAGTTAAGGGGATTTTATCAATGATCAATAAGCAACGAGAATAACGGTTAACACTTCATTGACTTTATAAATAAAAAGACAAATATTCTAGGACATCATAGATCTAATATGAAAAATAAAGGAACTCAAAAAAGTAAATGAAAACGTTGAATTTGAGGTAAACACGATGTGAAAAAAGTACGTATGATAAATAACTAAGTATTTTGTTATATTATATATGTTACCTTCACCGCATTTGCCAACTTGGACTGTTTACCAGAGCCGGTTGACGATGCATTATCAGTTTTATTGTTGGAATTAGTTGAACTTTTTCCACTCATCTTACCACTTTTTGAATTGTCATTTTTAGCAGACGACTTTGGCATGATATTATTTTTATTATTAGTTCTAGCAATGGCTGTGAAAGATAAAAGCAAAATAAAATTGGTGTTATTCAGCGATCGAATAAACAATTATTATTCTGAAAAGGTTATATGGAAAGGAAAAAAAAAAGCAAATGATTTATAAATTAAAAGTCAACTTAATACAAGTTTGGTTAGGTAGTTAATGACGCTTTGTTCAATCTGGTAGCTTATCATAGACAAGTCGGTTGAACAAGTGGCAAGGACTGAATAGATTATTTCGTCACAGTTTGGAGCTAATAGGAAGTCTGAATGCATTTCGATACAGATTTCCAGTAATCCTTAATTCTAGCTGAAGAATTCGTAATTAAGGAAACTGATCAAGGTTGAGTCATTCAAAATAACTTTGTTTACAAGAAATCCAGTACTTCAAGTGTATGCTCTTTTATTCGATAATTTTAAGAATCAGATCAATCAGGATAGTTACAAACATGTAACACTGAAAAACCAATAGTGATAAAATATTGAAACAAATGATCACTACAGATAAGAGCACTAAAAGGGTTCTTTATAAATATATATTAATCATTTATTGGTAAATTATATACCGATATAAATAACAGATAATCATTTCTAACCCTCATACATCTGTTTTAGATTATCACACAAAATTTAATGTGATATAAGAACAAAGATCTTCTCAAAATAAAGGGTTGAGTAATAATTGAACTAAACAACATTTTGCTATTCATCCTAAAGAACCCTATCAAGCATAGAATTGTTTTGGTTAAATCCAGTACATGAAACAGCTTTTATGCAGAGCATAATCAAATTTAATTGCTTTAGGCGCATAGAGCTCATTTAAATTACAAGTAAATATAGTAACATTCTATAAAACCATGCCATTTCATTTAAAATGTGTACTATAGCTAATTCATCATTAATATTCAACTTCCTATCCCATTACAACTATTCGGATTTCAGTAAATAAACAGTATCTAAATGTGAACTTGGTTACTGAGTTTCATCAAATTTAAAATTATATTATTTTCTAACCACCAATTACCATACTTCAATTATATATATATATATATATATATATATATATATATATATATATATATATATATATATATATATATATATATATATATGGACGAACGTGTAAAAGAAGAACATATAAGAATGTACATGAATCCTTTTATCTTTCCAGTTTAATTTATTAACAAATGAGGAAAATCATTCAAAAGTACTATTCTGAAGCAAAAGAACAATAGTGAAAATGATTATTCCAAAATTATTGTCTGATAAGATACACAGAGAGAGAGACAAATGTGTGTGTGTGTTCAATTCAAATTCAAATTATCAAAGAGAAAATTAATGTTATTAATAATATTAAGTTTTTACAAGAAATACAGAAGCTGCCACTAATATAACTGCCACATCATTAACTCGATTGGTTGATTCTTAATCCCTTGCGTTTCCGTAAACCCCTATCTAGACCACAAAAATTGAAATTGTTGTTTAACCTAATACATTTAGTTACAATTAAATATAATTAAAAAACAAAATGTCATCTATGGATTTAAATCACACACATCATTCAAAGGAAGTCTGGTGTTTATTCGTTTTCTTTCCTCTTTTTTTTTTACTAAAAAGGATAAAACACATGAAGTCATCATTTACATTTTAATATTGCCCTCATTGTATTTGAGAAAAATAAAGGGGAAAATAACAAAAATTCAATATTTCAGCACTTAATAAAAAGCAAATTGCTAACGGATGACCAAAAAAGAAAACATAAGAGTCATAAAAATAGATTAAATAATAGAAAAGTAGGAATAAACAGTGATTATTATCATTATTAACAT